TGTCTATGAATTTTTTGGGATTTTTAGGGCAATCAGGAAAAAAATAATTTTTCGACCTATATGAGCCTACTGCATTGCTTGAACCGCTGATTTTGAAAATCTAAAGGGAGAGATATCTATCAAATCTAACATAAAATTCTTTCATAATGAGTCTGAATAAGTGTCTATGAATTTTTTGGGATTTTTAGGGCAATCAGGAAAAAAATAATTTTTCGACCTATATGAGCCTACTGCATTGCTTGAACCGCTGATTTTGAAAATCTAAAGGGAGAGATATCTATCAAATCTAACATCAAATTCTTTCATTATGAGTCTGAATAAGTGTCCATGAATTTTTTGGGATTTTCAGGGCAATCAGGAAAAAAATAATTTTTCGACCTTTATGAGCCTACTGCATTGCTTGAACCGCTGATTTTGAAAATCTAAAGGGAGATTTATCTATCAAATCTAACATCAAATTCTTTCATTATGAGTCTGAATAAGTGTCTATGAATTTTTTGGGATTTTTAGGGCAATCAGGAAAAAAATAATTTTTCGACCTATATGAGCCTACTGCATTGCTTGAACCGCTGATTTTGAAAATCTAAAGGGAGAGATATCTATCAAATCTAACATCAAATTCTTTCATTATGAGTCTGAATAAGTGTCCATGAATTTTTTGGGATTTTCAGGGCAATCAGGAAAAAAATAATTTTTCGACCTTTATGAGCCTACTGCATTGCTTGAACCGCTGATTTTGAAAATCTAAAGGGAGATTTATCTATCAAATCTAACATCAAATTCTTTCATTATGAGTCTGAATAAGTGTCTATGAATTTTTTGGGATTTTTAGGGCAATCAGGAAAAAAATAATTTTTCGACCTATATGAGCCTACTGCATTGCTTGAACCGCTGATTTTGAAAATCTAAAAGGAGAGTTATCCATCAGATCTGACATCAAATTCTTTCATTATGAGTCTGAATAAGTGTCTACGAATTTTTTGGGATTTTTAGGGCAATCAGGAAAAAAATAATTTTTCGACCTATATGAGCCTACTGCATTGCTTGAACCGCTGATTTTGAAAATCTAAAAGGAGAGTTATCCATCAGATCTGACATCAAATTCTTCCGTTATGGGTCTGAATAAGTGACTATGAATTTTTTGGGATTTTTAGGGCAATCAGGAAAAAAATAATTTTTCGACCGTTATGAGCCTACTGCATTGCTTGAACCGCTGATTTTGAAAATCTAAAGGGAGATTTATCTATCAAATCTAACATAAAATTCTTTCATTATGAGTCTGAATAAGTGTCTATGAATTTTTTGGGATTTTTAGGGCAATCAGGAAAATAATAATTTTTCGACCTATATGAGCCTACTGCATTACTTGAACCGCTGATTTTGATAATCTAAAGGGAGAGTTATCCATCAGATCTGACATCAAATTCTTTCATTATGAGTCTGAATAAGTGTCTACGAATTTTTTGGGATTTTTAGGGCAATCAGGAAAAAAATAATTTTTCGACCTATATGAGCCTACTGCATTGCTTGAACCGCTGATTTTGAAAATCTAAAGGGAGAGTTATCCATCAGATCTGACATCAAATTCTTTCATTATGAGTCTGAATAAGTGTCTACGAATTTTTTGGGATTTTTAGGGCAATCAGGAAAAAAATAATTTTTCGACCTATATGAGCCTACTGCATTGCTTGAACCGCTGATTTTGAAAATCTAAAGGGAGAGTTATCCATCAGATCTGACATCAAATTCTTTCATTATGAGTCTGAATAAGTGTCTATGAATTTTTTGGGATTTTTAGGGCAATCAGGAAAAAAATAATTTTTCGACCTATATGAGCCTACTGCATTGCTTGAACCGCTGATTTTGAAAATCTAAAGGGAGAGATATCTATCGAATCTAACATCAAATTCTTTCATTATGAGTCTGAATAAGTGTCTACGAATTTTTTGGGATTTTTAGGGCAATCAGGAAAAAAAATAATTTTTCGACCTATATGAGCCTACTGCATTGCTTGAACCGCTGATTTTGAAAATCTAAAGGGAGAGATATCTATCAAATCTAACATCAAATTCTTTCATTATGAGTCTGAATAAGTGTCCATGAATTTTTTGGGATTTTCAGGGCAATCAGGAAAAAAATAATTTTTCGACCTTTATGAGCCTACTGCATTGCTTGAACCGCTGATTTTGAAAATCTAAAGGGAGATTTATCTATCAAATCTAACATCAAATTCTTTCATTATGAGTCTGAATAAGTGTCTATGAATTTTTTGGGATTTTTAGGGCAATCAGGAAAAAAATAATTTTTCGACCTATATGAGCCTACTGCATTGCTTGAACCGCTGATTTTGAAAATCTAAAGGGAGAGATATCTATCAAATCTAACATAAAATTCTTTCATAATGAGTCTGAATAAGTGTCTATGAATTTTTTGGGATTTTTAGGGCAATCAGGAAAAAAATAATTTTTCGACCTATATGAGCCTACTGCATTGCTTGAACCGCTGATTTTGAAAATCTAAAGGGAGAGATATCTATCAAATCTAACATCAAATTCTTTCATTATGAGTCTGAATAAGTGTCCATGAATTTTTTGGGATTTTCAGGGCAATCAGGAAAAAAATAATTTTTCGACCTTTATGAGCCTACTGCATTGCTTGAACCGCTGATTTTGAAAATCTAAAGGGAGATTTATCTATCAAATCTAACATCAAATTCTTTCATTATGAGTCTGAATAAGTGTCTATGAATTTTTTGGGATTTTTAGGGCAATCAGGAAAAAAATAATTTTTCGACCTATATGAGCCTACTGCATTGCTTGAACCGCTGATTTTGAAAATCTAAAGGGAGAGATATCTATCAAATCTAACATCAAATTCTTTCATTATGAGTCTGAATAAGTGTCCATGAATTTTTTGGGATTTTCAGGGCAATCAGGAAAAAAATAATTTTTCGACCTTTATGAGCCTACTGCATTGCTTGAACCGCTGATTTTGAAAATCTAAAGGGAGATTTATCTATCAAATCTAACATCAAATTCTTTCATTATGAGTCTGAATAAGTGTCTATGAATTTTTTGGGATTTTTAGGGCAATCAGGAAAAAAATAATTTTTCGACCTATATGAGCCTACTGCATTGCTTGAACCGCTGATTTTGAAAATCTAAAAGGAGAGTTATCCATCAGATCTGACATCAAATTCTTTCATTATGAGTCTGAATAAGTGTCTACGAATTTTTTGGGATTTTTAGGGCAATCAGGAAAAAAATAATTTTTCGACCTATATGAGCCTACTGCATTGCTTGAACCGCTGATTTTGAAAATCTAAAAGGAGAGTTATCCATCAGATCTGACATCAAATTCTTCCGTTATGGGTCTGAATAAGTGACTATGAATTTTTTGGGATTTTTAGGGCAATCAGGAAAAAAATAATTTTTCGACCGTTATGAGCCTACTGCATTGCTTGAACCGCTGATTTTGAAAATCTAAAGGGAGATTTATCTATCAAATCTAACATAAAATTCTTTCATTATGAGTCTGAATAAGTGTCTACGAATTTTTTGGGATTTTTAGGGCAATCAGGAAAAAAATAATTTTTCGACCTATATGAGCCTACTGCATTACTTGAACCGCTGATTTTGAAAATCTAAAGGGAGAGTTATCCATCAGATCTGACATCAAATTCTTTCATTATGAGTCTGAATAAGTGTCTACGAATTTTTTGGGATTTTTAGGGCAATCAGGAAAAAAATAATTTTTCGACCTATATGAGCCTACTGCATTGCTTGAACCGCTGATTTTGAAAATCTAAAGGGAGAGTTATCCATCAGATCTGACATCAAATTCTTTCATTATGAGTCTGAATAAGTGTCTACGAATTTTTGGGGATTTTTAGGGCAATCAGGAAAAAAATAATTTTTCGACCTTTATGAGCCTACTGCATTGCTTGAACCGCTGATTTTGAAAATCTAAAGGGAGAGTTATCCATCAGATCTGACATCAAATTCTTTCATTATGAGTCTGAATAAGTGTCTACGAATTTTTGGGGATTTTTAGGGCAATCAGGAAAAAAATAATTTTTCGACCTTTATGAGCCTACTGCATTGCTTGAACCGCTGATTTTGAAAATCTAAAGGGAGAGTTATCTATCAAATCTGACATCAAATTCTTTCATTATGAGTCTGAATAAGTGTCTATGAATTTTTTGGGATTTTTAGGGCAATCAGGAAAAAAATAATTTTTCGACCTATATGAGCCTACTGCATTGCTTGAACCGCTGATTCTGAAAATCTAAAAAGAGAGTTATCTATCAGATCTGACATCAAATTCTTCCGTTCTGGGTCTGAATAAGTGTCTATGAATTTTTTGGGATTTTTAGGGCAATCAGGAAAAAAATAATTTTTCGACCTATATGAGCCTACTGCATTGCTTGAACCGCTGATTTTGAAAATCTAAAGGGAGAGATATCTATCAAATCTAACATCAAATTCTTTCATTATGAGTCTGAATAAGTGTCCATGAATTTTTTGGGATTTTTAGGGCAATCAGGAAAAAAATAATTTTTCGACCTTTATGAGCCTACTGCATTGCTTGAACCGCTGATTCTGAAAATCTAAAAAGAGAGTTATCTATCAAATCTGACATCAAATTCTTTCGTTTTGGGTCAGAATTAGTGTCCATGAATTTTTTGGGATTTTCAGGGCAAACAGGAAAAAAATATTTTTTCCACCTATATGAGCCTACTGCATTGCTTGAACAGCTGATTTTGAAAATCTAAAGGGAGAGTTCATTTTCAAATCAGACATCAAATTCTTACTTTATGGGTCTGAATTGTCTATGAATTTTTTGGGATCCTCAGGGAAATCAGGAAAAAACTATATTTTTCGACCTATATTTTCTGTAGTATTGTTGGCAACAAAAAAATATTAACGTTATTTCAAAATGACCTCACAAGGACTAGATAGTCAATGAAATGTCCAGTAAAAAAAAAGTCACCTGCTTACCTGTGCGCTTTTAATTCCTGGAAGTTTAAGTATATTGGATTCTATCTTGTGCACACAACTGGAACACGTCATTCCGCTGATTTCCAGATCGGTATCCGCCTCTCCTGCCCCCGATTGCTGCAACACCGAAGCGGGGAAGCCCAGATCCGTTATGGAAGCGGCTATGTCGAAAGGAATGGTGAGAGACGGATCGAATTGGACTTCCGCTCTGGCTGCCAGGAGTGATACCAGGATTTTATGAACACCTAGGCAGTAGAAAAAAACATGCATTTTCAAATACCACCACGAAATAATTATTCGATAGATGCAAGTTCAATGACGGCGAATGGCGCCGAGCCCACAGTTTCACCTGAAACCAGTTTACACCATACTTTGATGATAGTTGTATTTTCATTGTGGATGTTCTCATTGTTCTTTGTTCATTTATTCATATTCTCGTATAATATAAGAGTGATCCAGAATAAGAAAGACAAACTTCGTATAAGGATTCCTTACCTCAAAGAAATACGCGACGCTCAAAGTCAAAGTGTTTTTCTCTCGTTATCAACCAATTTCGTTCATTTATGAACATTTGAATCAGAATCAGATTCAGAATCAGAATCAGAATCAGAATATTCTTCATTGTCAGAAGAAAAAGCTCTTGTAGACAAAGAGAATATAAAACATGAGTACGTAACATACAATAATAGAAATTTAAAACAATGTGAAAGATAAAATATGGCATGAGAAGGATCATCATGTGGTATAACGATTTACATTTCTAGGATGAATACTTGAACACATCACTTTAATTCATAGAAAGCCTTTTCAGCAAATAGCTGTTTGAGACTCTTCCTGAATATTTTATGATCTTTAATGTCCTTTACGTAGGTAGGTAGGTGGTTATACATCTTCAGTCCATTATATATAACCGAGTCTTTGATCAGGGTAGTCGATGGTAAAGGTAATTTCAGATGATTTTGTTGCCGAGTTATATGTTCTGTTCAATTATTTTTTAATTTTATTTTATTTTTATGAATTAGGCTGACTGATTCTACAATGAAAAGTGGAGTGAGAGTAAGAATACCTTGACGTGCAAACAAAGGCCGACAAGATTCTCTAAATTTTGCTTTACCCAGGTACCTAACGGCTCTTTTCTGTAGAGTGAAAATTACTTTAAAAAGTGTTTTTCTACAGACTCCCCAGAAGGCAATGCCATAGCTTAGATGGAATTCTATAAGGACATAATAAGCTGACTTGGAGCAGTATATACCAAATTGTTGGAAATGATTCGCATGGCATAGCATCCCCAAGCCAACTTTTTACTGAGACTTGAGAAGTGAGTATCGAATTTCAATGTGGCATCAATCTGTAGTCCAAGAAATTTTGAATTCTCTTTACTCTCTATGGTATCATTGCCTAGTAGCAGTGCAGGCAAATTGCAACGGAGGCATAGTATATTTGTTTTAGAGATATTTAATTAAAGTAAATTTGAATCAAACCATTCTTTAATGCGGTCAACATCTCTAGAAATGGTTTGAAATAGTTTAGCCTCATTCTTGTCATGCCATTGAATGGTAGTATCGTCGGCAAATAAAGTGAAACTACCTGATATATTCAAATTGGCCATGTCATTGATGTATAATAAGAAAAGCACAGGTCCGAGTACCGAACCTTGAGGTACACCACAGCTAATGGAATGAAGTTGCGAGTAATGGTTTGTTTTGACAATCTGATAACGATTTGATAGGTATGACTGAAACCATTTCAAAGTAGTACCTCTGAAGCCATATGCTTTCAGCTTTTGCAAGAGTATTCTGTGATTGACGCAGTCGAATGCCTTCGACAAATTACAACACTGCTGCTACGAATTCTTTCTTATTAATTTCTGTATAAACTTCAGTAATGAAGTCAAATATGGCATCCGTTGTATTCTTTTTGCTCTGAAACCCGAACTGTTGGTCGCTCAGAATGTTGTGCCTGTCTAAAAACGGAATGCTTCTATTCTTGACCAGCTTCTCGATTATCTGGGTATGAGCGAGCGAGATTGGTCGAAAATAAGATGGATTATCTTCTTCGCCGCCTTTATGAATCGTGTTTATTCAACATTTTATTCCACTTTCAGCATTTTGGCTTCTTCTTAGTTGATTTTTCATCACTTCACCTCAATTTGAGGTGAACATTTTGTAATCAATGTATGTCCTAAGATGCATCCTTCGACAGTACGAAAAAAACTTATGTTGATATCAATTTCTTCGGAACTCTGGTAGGTAGAATGAAACGAGGAATACAAATTGAAAAATTTTCTAGATTGATCAATGTAATCAAAGGGAGTTTCCATTTTTGACTATTGTTGAAGCAGTGGCATAGTTATGATCGTATGTCGTCACATTTCCATTCATATTTTTTCGATAGACGAATTGTCAAAGTGTTATAATATGATATGTCAGTTAGGCTCATCGATACCTAACCTAAAAGTAATAACATTACACATGCCTTGAGGGAATATTGAGTGGATCCAATTTGCTGCAAACCATAACTGCATAACGCAGATCTTTCACGAGATATTAAAAAAATTCTTAAACTTCTGGATATTATTGAATGTTGAGTACATTGAAAACATGATACGGGTGCGTCAGAAGTAGATCGACAAACATACTTCTTTTTCCATACGTTATTTAGGAATAAACAGTTCATATTGATGAGTTCTGTCTTCAAATGCAACCCTTTTTGGAGATACTAGTTTTTGAATATGTGGAAAAGAACTGAGCTTCACAATTTTGTTTCTTGAACACGTAGCAATATTAATTTATGTCTTCAGAACCTTTATATGTGTACTTTCGTACACCCTGTAGCTAGTGTAGCTCAAGAGAATGCACTTTAGGACATACTTTGAAAGAAACTTTTTATTTATTTATTTATTTATTTAATATAATACATCCAAACAGATCATAGATCCACTAGTTGGAGTATATAACAGTATTTTGTGTGATACAGTAGTTAATCTGTTAACAAAAGTTGGTTAATTCGAGATATGCTGAAATAAGATATTTTTAAACTGGGTTAGTGAAGGTGAATATATATCTACACCATCCAACCTATTAAATTGTCTGCACATGTGAAACAGGGGACTATGGAAATGGTGGTAGGAGTTAGTTGCATCGATGTGAAAGGGGATGTTCGATCTCGAAGTAATTCGTGGCACCTTGAAATTAACTAGGGCTAGTAATTCTGGTGAGTCAATTAGACCATGTATGACTTTGTAAAGGAATGTAAGGTCAGAGATTTCTCTTCGCTTCCTCAGAGTAGTTACCTCGAATTCTTCGAGTAGAAGTTGATGATCGTAATGATTCACTGGGTAGCTGCCGTGCTTTTTGAAATAAAGAAATTTAAGAAACTTATGTTGTATTTTTTCTATAGAATCGATGTATTTTTTTTGGGATGGATTCCAGACAGTGCTGCAGTATTCAAGCTTTGAACGTACTAACGAAAAATATATTGCTTTCATTGCTTTAATAGATGAAAACTCTTTGCTATTACGAATAACGAAGCCTAATAGTTGAGCGGATTTGGCTGTAATGTTTTCTATATGCGATAAAAAGGTTAATCCCTTATCAAATAGTACCCCTTTAAGTTCATTCAATTGTTTATGTTTTTCACCCAACAGGTTATGGATTATTCTTATGATTTTTCATTCGTTTTTAGTTCGGGCTTGTACGAATGTACAATTACGAACTTACCACATGATTTGAATGGACATTCCATAATGCAAAAACCTGAGGCGAATCAGGGAAAAACTCATTTGATGAAAATTCAGTAGGAGGAAACTTTCCCTCTAACGATTTGCATTTGTAAGTATATTTCAGTTGGGCCAAAAAACGATCCAACTAACAATACACGATAACAGCGAGTGAAGTAGAACTAACTTCATCTCCAACTGATCTATTGTTGTCATTAATGAAGTCGATTTTTAGTCGCCTAAATTATGAATATAAGAGGTCCAAGAACTGAACCTTGGGACACCCTAAGTCTTAAATTTGATATTCAACTACCATACCGGGCGATAGGCACTTGATGAAGAAATCCACACAGCCAAATAGAAGATAGGGGATATTATGAATGAAATGAATATGGAACTACAGTTGTTTTTTTATTAAATAACTGATTTATTTCATAGAAGATCTGCTCTACTGACCTGGCAATTTCAGTACATGTTTCTCTATTGCAGCTACACACGACCCACATGTCATGCCTTTCACTTGCAAGTTGCACTTTTCCAGTTTCTTATCATCAATAACACCGGGATTGTCGATTTTTTCCGAAGACTTGGATTTAGAAGTGAGTTTGACTGAACTTGCCGCATTTCTGCCATTGACAGACTTCACGTACGCTTCGAATCCCATGTCTTCTATCTGTTCTGCTATCTCTTCCGGGGATACCTTGCTCGGTAAGAACTCTATGCGCCCTTCGTTGTTTTTTAAATCTACGTTTACCATTTGAATGCCGTCCCTCGTAGATAACATACCTAGAGAATTTCGTTATGTTCAATAGTTTGTACAGGGTTATCCATAGAATAGGCCCGCCAATATTCGCGGGAATCAATGTTACCAGGTGGCGATTTTACTAAATATACTGCACGCTAGCACAAACCACGCCCACCATAATACGTCATATCTCCAAACATTACCGATATACTCGGAGTCAGCACATCGCACTAAATATACTGTGCTCCAACGCAAGAATACACTTTTTATGATTTTGACACGAATTCGACTGAAGCTCTCTCGTTGTCAATCTCTTGTACGCAGTAAATTCATACACCCAAATGGTTTACTGGATAGCGCTGTCGACTTTCAGTCTGAAGGTCCATGGTTCGAATCGCTGTGAACTTTTTTTGCAACTTTTTTTTTCACCAATGTTTTTTTACTTCATTCTGGTTTTCCTTTTTCATAAAATATTTGAAGTCAAATAGGTTAGTGCGTTTAGGATAAACAGTCTCATTTTATTCAATTTTGTTGAAGAACTCAACTTTTGAAATTTATTATTAATCAATGTGTTTCTACACTCCATTCGGTTTACCTTCCTCAAAAATATTGCTATCAGGGATAGGTCAGTTCGTTGAGGATAAATAGTCTCTGAGTTTTGCCTAAGTAAAGTACTTTGAAAATGAGATATAACGGTGGGCGTGGTATGTGCTAGCGTACAGTATATTTAGTAAAATCGCTACCAGGTGGCGCTCGGTTTTCATCGTTCCATATCAAAGTCACGTCAAAACTGGGGGAAAACAAACTCAATCCCATTAGTGCCATTAGCTTGTGTACTGATAAGAGTGATAAGTTTTTAAATTTCTTGACATTAATTGTCATTATTCGATCGAAAATGCTAATAATGCCTGTTGTAGATTAAGGATTATTAACTCTCTAACAGGATAGTTCATCCGGCGATAACCAATCACAAGGGTTAACGGCATGACGTCACGCATGTCAGTGATGCTTGCTGTTTTATGAAGAATCTCAAGGAATCCTAACCATCCTAATTAACCTCAAATTTTGCTTTTACGAATGTTGAATGAAGAGGATTCAATATCGAAGGATTTATTACTTCTTTAAAAAAAATTATAGGTAATTGATTGATTTCTACAGTAAGGAGAAAAGTGTTTTGAAAGTCGTTAGGAAATGGTTGGAGAAGGAAAGTGGACTCCATTTGATTTCGGTGGGTTTGAATTCCTTATTTAGAATCAATCAGTGAAAAATACTTCAATAGGATAATAAATTCCACAGAAACTTCATATAATGTAATTGTGGATACATATAAGGTGATTGTGATTGAATGGTCGTTATTTTTAGTTTGACTTGAGGATTCCACAATAATTGTGAACTGTTTGGATTAAGTTTAATCTGGAGGACTATTTAACAAATTATTTGGAGCTAATTTCTGAATGGGTATAGCAGTGCGTGAAATATTGTCATATCTACCTCTTCAGGAACCTAATGGTCCTGCTAGACATATAGATATTCAGTGTCAAATTTTGATTTTGGATATTTGGAATCTAGGAGCTATTATCACAGGCCGTGAACCGATGAGCGATTGTGTGGTGAACGACATGACGTCATATATATGAACCATATATTGACGGATAGGGGATGAACCATCCTGTTGAGAGTTGATAATCCTTGGTTGTAGAAGTTCTTTTGGCAGATATTTTGCTCTATTTAGACGGAAACAGCCGACCAGTGGTGAAAGGAGAAGCAGTTCTCCGTGCTAATCATGTGATTTTGTGTGAGGTAGAAGACTTCAACAAAAGGCACATTTTTGCACTTTGTCTACAAACTTCGGCGATGAAATCTTCCACACATGAGGTAAAATTGAAGTTGGGGTCCAGAGGAACTCCTGTAGAACAATGGATTTGTATTTGTTTATGCAAAGGAGGACAATCTGGGTATTGTAAACATGTTGTAGCTGTTCTTTTATATGTCGATTGATTTGCTCGTCATTATTAGTTTGAATTGTTTGATCCATCTCCAATTCTTCACCCGTTCACTGTTTACTAAACTAATAAAAATGTAATAATGTAAAAAAATTAACCAACTCAACCATCATCACTTCCAACAGTGCCAACACTTTATGTCATTGACAAGTTTGACTACTGCTACAGCAAGCTGAATGCAATGTAGTCTATGCACATTATCCATAGACAACAGTTTGTTTTCCCCCAGTTTGAAGTTCGTATTATGTGACCTAGATGTCGCGCACTTCGTGAATCTCGCAAATATTGACGTTATTTTTTCATCGAGAAAAAAACAATATGCGGAAGTTGAAAACCGCAATGAGGCCTTTCCACAGCCCGAATCAGAAGTTTTACAGGGTGATCCCTGAAAGCGTGACAAACCATAATTTTTTTTCTTAATAGTTTTTTCGGAATCTGTGAATTTTTCGTTCAATTTCGAAATTTTTTTGATCAATACGCTATTGAACTAATCATTCATAGTATATCGTAATAAGTGTTGTAAGAAGCATATTATGCACGAATGTACAAGGTACACACTCGGCCATGAGTGCGTATACGTATGCAATACGAACTATACTTTACCTACGGCCATTTCCAGCGTCCATATAAATCTATCAGAAATTGTAAAAAAATAATGAAATATTATTTTCAACATAGATAGATGAATTTGAATATTTGAACGTAGGCAATTCATCATTCTAATAATTTTCGATATAGTCTAAAATAAAGGAACTTTACTCTTGGGTGAAATTAATATTTTTTGACATACCTCGATATATACAGGGTGTCTCAGGTTAAACTCGTCTAACTTTGACAATCGATAGCAAAAATCAAAATATTATACACGTATTTTTTTGTTTTGTCATGGAGACACTTGTTTTCATTATACGGGGTATTAAAGTTCGCATAAATTTTAGCACTTTTCTATCGGCAATATGAACAGTTCTTATCAATACAGGGGACTAAGCTACACTGGGTGTCTTTTTTTTCATATTCACTGATATGGAACCCTACAGATTTTTCCAGTGGGACGCTGATTGTGAATTATAGCTGAAAAAATGATCCTCTGATTTTGCTGGTGTTCAACTTCGTTTTTTTTTTATTTCAATGACCTAATAACCTGTTTTGACGTTTTGATAGATACAAAACAATCAAGTTCCCATTTTAAAAATTGACACATGATTTATAACCCTATTTCACCGGAGAAGTTGGGGAGCTAGAACACTTTTTCTTACCTTCTATACTTTGTACACATGAATTACATGTCATTCCTTTTATACTAATATAACAAGTACTCTTTTCTTCCGTATTTTGTGATAACAATGGTAGTGAGGCTTCGAAGCCCATATCTTCTATATAATCACATATTTGGTGAGGAGATACAGTCTTTGGATCATAATGAACTAAACCATATTTTTCTTGTAGATTTACCTGAAACAATCCATTCGACAGTTAATAAATTAATCTAAACTAATATCAGAATTCGAAAATTCGGGCGGAATTTTTGAATTCAAGATGGCGGAACCGATATGGCGGACGAGATTTGTAATTATAATCCGATTCTTTTCAAAATCAGTACCTAGGGTTTTACGTGATCGGGGATTATGATTCCTTCCTAAAAATTGAGAACTTCAAGATGGCGGATCCAAAATGTCGGATTTTGTAATTAGGATCCAATTTTATCGAAAGTTGGTAGGTATCTGGTGATTCTCTTCCTTCAGATGAATTTTCATAAAGTTCGGACCTCTCTAGTTGTATGTCCACGCTGTACAGAATGGCGACCGATGAAGTCCAAGTCGTTTTCATTTTCAAATTAAAGCAATTTTTAATTCTCGGGGCGGTAAAATGTGACGTACATTCTGAATCTAGTGTTAAAATAACTGATGGTGAAGAATATAGCTAGCGAATAGCTTACGAATGAAAAAAATAGAAGTAAAATCTGTAAACAAAAACATACATAACCAAAAATACACTCGGACCAGGAATACAGAAAGTAGTTGGCTTCATTCTGACAGGTTATGTTTTGTTATTTGTGAATTGAAATGTCTCGAATAGAGCTCGATCCGAAACGAAAATATCATTGAATCAACGAATCATTATCGGCTACATTCAATGATACTATCCTTCCTGATTTACTGTCATCGGTCAGAACAGAATGAAGCCGACTCCATGACTCCTTCCTCTTGTTGTGCCTGTCAGCATTTTGAGTGGTGTGGACGGACTTGAAGTTTTAGGCGCTGTTGCAAGATATAATCTGCAACTTTCATCCGTGTTATTAAGGAACGAATTCATTAGCTAAAAAATGACTGACAAGTTATAAATAACATATTGTTATCAGTGAATACAAAGTATTGTATTCAACTTATACTGGTGAAACATTTCTACCGTTAATGATATATTTCATGAACATGATAAGGAAATATAAACCATTATACGTGTGGATTGCATACTAGAATTTTGATAAAAACATAAACGGTGGGCTAAAGTCCCGTAAAATTAGAGTTAGTTGATGTCATCATATGGAGACCGGATACTATTTTATGATGGAATATTTCTTAAAAGATAAGACATATCTATTCTATTCCGATTAAGATTTTTATTCTCAGTCATAAACATATTATGTATCCCAAATTCATAAATATATTGTTACTCTACAATGGTGCTCATCATCATCATCATCAGCATAATTTTTTTTTCTACTCACATAACTAAAATGGCATTTAGCGTACGGATATGTACCACGCTAAATGATCGATTAATCACGGATTGTCGATCTGTGATTTATTCAAAATATTAAACACGTTACCATGGCAACACGATTTCTTAAACACATTACCATGTCTGGCCTGTCAATTGTATTAACTGTCAACTGTTATTTCCAAATTTTGTATCAGAATTATTCAAACAATTTTCGTTTGTATCAGAATTCTTCATTAAAAATATAAGCGAAATGTAGACGAAAGAGGAATCGAAGAGAATGTTCTGGTACTTGCATATCTCCAAGAAGTGTAAAAATGAAGCATCCATCTTCGAGAACAATTTATTTATTCTGCGCTAAGCATGACAATAAACGTGAAACAAAGGTTAGTAAGCAATGGACTGGACACATCTACAACCAATATCACTGTTCTAGAACTGTTGCCTTGAAACAAACAGCCTACCATCGCTGGCGCAAAAACCCTAACCTCGCGACTAGAGCAGAATACGTTGATGCCAGGAATAACTGCAGCCAAACAATAGATGCTTCGAAAGAAACATACAATGCCAAGATCAGATCGAAACTCATAGATTGTCCCAATGGCTCCCGTTCGTTTTGGTCCCTTGCTAAAGCGGTCGGAAGAAATTTCACTAACAGTTCATTTCCACCACTGTCCAAATCCGACGGCACATTAGCAACAACATCGCAGGAGAAAGCGAATATTTTTGCAGAAATTTTCGCAGCAAACTCTACTTTAGATTCCCAAGGAAAAGTGCCGCCAGACATTCCACCCGTTGAGAGTCGAATGCCCGAAATCGTCTTCCGTCAACGCACTATCAGACGAATTTTGCTTGGTCTCAAAACGAATAAAGCTAACGGTCCTGATGGAATTCCACCCATTATCCTCAAAAAATGTGCACCAGAATTAACACCGATTCTCTGCAAGTTGTTTATCATCTCGTACAGGTCGGGTATTTTTCCATCATGCTGGAAGACAGCTAGAGTCCAACCAATCCCCAAAAAAGGGAACAAGAACCTGCCCAACAACTACAGGCCCATTGCCCTGTTATCAGTAATCTCCAAAGTGATGGAGAAAGCCATCAATATTGAGCTTATCAAATATCTGGAGAGCTCAGGAATCATCAATGATAGACAATACGGCTTTCGCCACCGAAGATCTACTGGAGATCTACTTGCCTACGTCACCCATTTATGGCAATCTTCAATAGAAAAACACGGGGAATCTCTAGCTGTCGCGTTGGACATATCGAAAGCATTCGACCGTGTTTGGCACGAAGGACTCCTCCACAAACTACCATCATACGGCTTACCACCTCAGCTATGCCATCTCTTATCGAGTTTTCTTTCAGGCAGATCGCTTCACGTAGTAGTGGACGGTGTATCGTCTGATACCATTGGCATCAATTCCGGCGTTCCACAAGGATCAATTTTGGCACCAACATTATTCCTGCTTCATATCAATGATCTGTTGGGAGTAACAACTTGCCCCATCCACAGCTTTGCAGATGATAGTACCCTCCATACTGCTTTCTCTTCCAGAATTCCCATTTCTTCCCAGGAAACTAAGACCTCACGGCGCAGGCAGGTCAATGCTGTCAATGAAGATCTTGCTGAAATCACAGCCTGGGGAACAAACAACCTAGTTGAATTCAACGCCACCAAAACTCAAGCCTGCATTTTCTCTAGAAAGGCGGAACTCAGTATGCCCGATATTGTAATGTCTGGCTCCACCATCCCCACCAAGCCCACCATATCTATGCTCGGTATTTCCATCAGCAACACTCTTTCATGGGATAATCATGTCAGATCCATCGCAAAAGCTGCTTCCCAAAAACTCGGATTCTTGTTCCGTGCGAAAAACTACTTTACACCTCAACAGCTTCTCATGATCTACAAAGCGCAGATACGGCCTGTTCTAGAATACTGTTCCCACATATGGGGTTCAGCACCAAAACATACGCTGATGCTCTTAGATTCCATCCAGAGAAGAGCCATTCGCCTGGTGGGTGACGCCACACTCACTCACTCTTTGGCATCATTAGAACACCGTAGAAAGGTCGGCGACCTTTCACTTTTCTATCGATACTTCCACGGGAAATGTTCTTCGGAAATCTCTGCTATCATCCCTTCACTATCAATACCAATCAGACGAACTAGACAAGCCCAGTCAGCACATCCTTTCGTTGTCAACCTCGAAAGATGTCGAACAGCACTTTATCAAGACTCCTTCATCCATAGAACGGCTAGGCTCTGGAATTCATTGCCTGTGGAAATGTTCCCAACAACATATAATCTCCAAAAGTTCAAAAAAAATTCCAATACCTACCTCCTGACCCTATCCTCCCTAGGAACGCACGATGTTCTTTGGACATTATAGGGATTCCCTCTCGTGCGCTCCAAGCGATAAAAAAAAAAAAAAAAAAAAAAAAACTTATACGTGTCTCGCTGGTTGCATGCAGTTGCATGTTTTATGTTCTCAATTCTCATTCCTTTCGAATCATTTTGTAGATTAGCAGGAATTGCAGGTATATTAATGTAATTTTCGGAGTTCGTAGAAAAAGCATAGTATGTAACGCGTTTATAAACTCTTCTAGGTACTCGTTTATTAAACACTCGCTCCGCTCTGCTCCGCTCGTGCTTAAAATACTCGTTACTAAAAGGACGTTTATAACACTTGTTACATAATATACTATTACGAAATAAGTAATAAATTTACATATAGGTACTAATGATATGTGTAAACCAAAAAAGGACAATACTTTATCTGATTCATATCAAATTTAATTTTTTACATACCTCTGTTATAACATTTTGTTTATTACGCTTAATTTTTTTATTAGTTTTGTATTTCTGTTGTTCATTTTTACTATTCGTTCCTGTTTTGTATATACTCAAATCTCATAAGTACCCAAGCAACTGTATTTTGTGATATTTGTGTAAGTACCAGTTTTACCCAACATCTAAGCCTCCATCAAGAGGAAGACCCATAATACAAGGTACAAGAACTATCAGAAGAACTGAACTACAATAACACCGGTTTTCTGAACTGATGATCCACCAAAATCATTGAAATAATTTTCATTTTCATCTGGTATCTCCATAAAAAAAATCTTTGTAGGTACTCACTTTTATACTATATATTCCAGGTTTTATACCAACGGTTCCCTCTATATTCCGTACACATGACATACATGTCATGCCGATGATATTGATCCTGACAGCGCCATCTTCAGATTCTGCATCCTCAATTAGACTGCCTTCATAGTCTCCCGCTGATGGGGAATACGTTGTAATCCTCTCATTTGCTGATGGTTTTTGGTTGAGAAGTGGTTCGAAACCAAGGGTATCGGAAGTATTTCTAAAAAAAAAACCGATAATAATAAATTTATGAGTTGAAACTAAGGCGAGCTTCACAGCAGCAGATCCGAAATAAACTACTCAACACTAATTTCGTCGCACACCAAAATGTCGCCCCTGTTATAATGTGAATAACTTTTTTCAGTTCACAACAATTTGAATTTGATTCACACTGTTCGATAGCCCAGTCCTTCAGCTATAATCTCGTACTTCATTGAGACATAAGGGTATTCACATAAAATCTCTACATGGTGTTTTCCGACACTGTGCAAAATTTCGGAATATTCAAAAGGCTCTCAAATGGTGAAAACATTTTTTTCCTCAACTTCGACAACAGAGGCATGAAGATGATCTCATTACCTCGAGATATTTCGCGAATTAACTTCCTATCTCTCTTATTCACAGAGTGATCTCAAAAAATCTCTCTTTTGAAGATAAAACTTCAGATGAAGAGATCTGAATATCATAATTGACTCAAGATGGCTATCAAAGATCTAGAGTTTTCTTGAAAGTGACCCAAATCTGGAACGCCCTCCGAATCTCGGTTGGGAGGAGAATTGAATGAAAATCAACGTGTTCTCGGAAGAACAATTCATTCTGGATGCGTCCATATTTTCCTCGCTCTCAGTAGTCAAGAATGTGCGTGAGAAAACACAATTGAAACATGTTCTTGCAGAAACATCAGACCATTTCTCATCTGTAATGCATGGCCCGTAACCTACGTTACAAGAATCAGAGTAAGTGACTGACAAGTCAGGTTAGAGGTCGTTTTCGAATCATAAACAGATTTCGATAGTTTCGATGCCGCATCTAACGCGAATGTGGGTGACAATTTTGTTCTCGTTGATGACAATGCGAGACCGCATAGGGTTGTTGGTACACCATTTATGATGAGCCTTAGCTAGTCGGGTTTGTCAGTCCATTGTGATTCTTGTAACGTTGGTTACGGGCCATGCATTACAGAGGAGAAACGGTCTGATATTTTTGCAAGAACATGTTTCAATTGTGTTTTCTCACGCACAATTCTTGACTACTGAGAGCGAGGAAAATATGGACGCATCCAGAATGAATTGTTTTTCCGAGAACAAGTTGATTTTCATTCAATTCTCCTCCCAACCGAGATTCTGAGGGCGTTCCAGATTTGGGTCACTTTCAAGAAAACTCTAGATCTCTGATAGCCATCTTGAGTCAATTCTGATATTCAGATCTCTTCATCTGGAGTTTTATCTTCAAAATGAGCCTAAGATTTTTAAAATCGGTTGACGTGGAAAAAAGTTCTGGCTGCAAAACCAAGAAGTTGATTTTTTGAGATCACTCTGTAAATAAGAGAGATAGGAAGTTGATTCGCGAAACATCTCGAGGTAATGAGATCATCTTCATGCCTCTGTTGTCGAAGTTGAGAAAAAAAATGTTTTCACCATTCGAGAACCTTTTGAATATTCCGAAATTTTGCACAGTGTCGGATGTTTCAATGAAGTACGAGATTATAGCTGAAGGACTGGACTATCGAACAGTGTGAACCAAATTCAAATTGTTCTAAACTGAAAAAAGTTATTCACATTATAACAGGGGCGACATTTTGGTGTGCGACGAAATTAGTGTTGAGTAGTTTAGTTGTTAACTGAAGGCTGTGACATGGCTGTGACTCAATTGAAGTTTTATGATATTAGTCTTAAGTTTTATAATTTATGATGTAGCTATAATGAAATGACCAAACAGTTCTTTGTGGTGAATGACAGAACACAAATATATGAATTAGGAAATAAGTGCCAAAAACTTCACAAACGATAAGATTTCCACAAAGTTCTCAAACACACGACATGTTTCGCTAACACAGTAGCTTCGTCAGGTGATATACTGGTACAATGAACTAAACTAACGTTGGCTTGCTCAACTTTTATATCTCTTACTTTCCCAACCTGAAGGATTAGTTACCTGTGGACAGGTACGATAAACCTCATTTTCGGAAATTAGACACAATATCTACATTGAAATACGGTGTACCGGATTAACTTTTTTTTATCGCTTGGAGCGCACGAAAGAGAATCCCTATAATGTTCAAAGAACATCATGCGTTCCTAGGGAGGATAGGGATAGGAGATAGGTATTGGAATTTTTTTTGAACTTCTGGAGATTATATGTTGTTGGGAATACTTCCTCAGGCAATGAATTCCAGAGCCTAGCCGTTCTATGGATGAAGGAGTCTTGATGAAGTGCTGTTCGACATCTTTCGAGGTTGACAACTAAAGAATGTGCTGACTGGGCTTGTCTAGTTCGTCTGGCTGGTATTGCTAGTGAAAAGATGATAGCAGAGATTTCCGAAGAACATTTCCCGTGGAAGTATCGATAGAAAAGTGAAAGGTCGCCGACCTTTCTACGGTGTTCCAATGATGTCAAAGAAGGAGTCAGTGTGGCGTCACCCACCAGGCGGATGGCTCTTCTCTGGATGGAATCTAAGAGCATCAGCGTATGTTTTGGTGCTGAACCCTATATGTGGGATCAGTATTCTAGAACAGGCCGTATCTGCGCTTTGTAGATCATGAGGAGCTGTTGAGGTGTAAAGTAGCTTTTTGCACGGAACAAGAATCCGCGTTTTTGTGAAGCAGCTTTTGCGATGGATCTGACATGATTATCACATGAAAGAGTGTTTCTGATGGAAATGCCGAGCATAGATATGGTGGGCTTGGTGGGGATGGTGGTGCCAGACATTACAATGTCGGGCATACTGAGTTTCGCCTTTCTAGAGAAAATACAGGCTTGAGTTTTGGTGGCGTTGAATTCAACTAGGTTGTTGATTCCCCGGGCTGTGATTTCAGCCGTGAGTTCTTAGTTTTCTGGAAGAGAACGCGTGAACTTGAAAGAGTTGATAGCAAATACCTATTATTACTTACTAAGAAAATAAATTCAACAGTGGTGAACTATTGAAGAACAAATAGACAATTAGACACTTTCCACCAATATATAAATACTATTCATCCAAACATATTATAGAACTTAAGCCTGTTTCGGATCGTCAACTGAAAAATTAGCGTCATTTGTAAATAAACAGGACTTGAAAGTTGGATATAGAACAAATAAAACGTTGGGAAGGTTTATCAAGAATGATAAAGACAAAACTTCTAAATTCGAAAAATCAGGGGTATACAAACTGTGGATCTTGTCCTAAGGTATATATCGGTCAGACAGGTCGAACGTTCAATCAGCGCATTCATGAACATAAGATGAATTTTTGAAAAAGAAAACAAATTCAACATACGCCAACCATACATTCGAAGAAAACCATAGTTTTGATGATATTTCGAAATTGTGCACGTTGAAAATAAAGGAATGAAACTCAATCATTTTGAATCATTAGAAATATTGGTCGGTTTTAGGAAATTGAAGACATTTCATTGGTTTTCAGAACAGGCGTGTATTATTCGATGAAACATTATCTATTATGTATTTACCCCGATGAAATATTCAACATTATCATAATCTAACAAAAAACACCTTCCTGGCTAATAATATATCAGAATGATTCATGGAACAATATGGAATTGAATATTATGTCTTTGAACTACAGATTAGTAACCATATATCATTGTATCAGAAAGATTATCGTTCAGTTTTATCATAGCTCTAAACTTAGATCTATCTTCATTTTGCTTGAATATTTCGGAGTTTCTCTCCTCGTTTCTTCAAAATGAAAATGTGAGTTTTATTTCAGTATACGTGTAGTAGGACAAATCAGATGATTTGCCCCAAAATATCACTACGTTTAAAAAATGTTCATATCAAGCGATTGTTTTTTTTTTTTCGAAACATTTTATTGGTACCTACTTATGTATTTTTGTCTGAAAAACATGAATTTGATAATGAAAATGTGAACAAACCACTATTTAAGATATTTCAAAATAACCTTCTTTTTCCCCTTGTGTTGGATGCTTTTACAGCTACTTGCTCTTTTTATTTTGTCATTGGACACTTTCTATACTCATGATTTACTTCAATGACACTTTTTATATAGAAAATTCAACAGGAAATAAGATTTTTATGGCGAGTTTTTCAAATTTAGTTAACAAGAATACCAGATGACGGCCTTTTAATCCATAGCCAATCCAAATACGAGATGTCAAATGTCAACAGATTGTTTTTGAATGACATTGAACACGCCATTATTTTAAATCATACTCTTATTCTTTTCACTCAATATGGATAAATCATAAAAAAATTATATTTCTAGTTGACTCATATAATAGAAAAAGATGTGTCGTATATCGTAAGAGAAGGACAAATGGGCGTGTACACCTTAGTAGAATTTTCAACTCAAACCATGTTTATAATGATCCTTTTATACATAAACAATGATTGACGACATAATTCGATCGAAAAATCAACTGGAATGTTTTATTTTTGGACATAAATAATAGTACCTTCTGAAAACGGACCCTCTTATGACGTAGAAACCTCATCTCGCCATAGTTAAAAGAAAATACCAAACGCCCGACGGAGACTGAGGCAACTGATATATTAATTCTTTCAACTGTGATCTCGCGCTAATTCAGTCTGTCAGAAATCATGTATCATTTACCTCTGTCTGGAATAGTCTTTTTTCAGTATTAGGGTTTTGACGTCACATCATCGCCTCGTTTTCAGAGGTTCGAAAAATCGGGGATTTCAATAATTTTTTATAAAACGTAGGGAGCTCACAGCAAGTGATTTCTATCGAATTATGAAATAAATTTTTTTTGTGGTATAAGCCCATTGTTCTAAATGCGATTCAGAAGAGAGGCGGAAATGAAGGTAAAATTTGTAACTTTATAGTGGAATATCTCAATAAGTAATGGTTTGTTCACATTTGCATTATTAAATTCGTGTTTTTCAGACAAAAAGTACCAAAAAAATCATAGAAAAAAACCATTTGCATGATAAATGCAGTTTTACCAAAAATCCAATAGCTTGTCAGTGACACTCTGTTTAGAAAAATGTTTGAAGAAAAGATATATAGATATATTGAAA